AAACTTCCCACGCTCCTGTTGAGGGCTAAGGAAATGCTTATCTCCCTGAGCTTGGCCTTCATAACACCATTCCATCGCAATCAGCTGGTAGAAGAAGGAAGTACAGAAAGAAAGAAGGGAGGGCACTATTTTATAATTTTCCTGTCACTTAAGCAAAAGGGAAAGTGACAGAACACTTGCCAGTTTAACCTAGTTAAAACAAAAGCAGGATCTTCACTATTCCATCAGTGAACTTGTAGAAAAAAGGGGGGGAAAACCTCAAGAATTTTACCTTGGAAAGGGAAAGTGGCAAAACTCTTGTCAATTTCAACTGTTGTGTTTTAAGGACAGGTCCACTTCTTCATTCTTTCATCAATGAATCTGTAAACAAACAAGAAAAAAGAAAAAATGTGGCAGTGGAATGATATGTAACCAGAAAGAGGGGTGTTCCTGGCATAGTGTACAGTACAATAGCCAGCTAGAGTGGAGGTGTTTGCCTACAATGCAATGAAGTTCAGCAGCTAAACTGGACAGCCCTGCTTGCACTGACAAAAGTCTGAAAGCACTACTCTTTTATTTTTATTTATTTATTTATGCAGTTTCTATAGCCGCCCATCTCAATCCATGTGACTCTGGGTGGCACATAGCAGGGAAAGATGGACAGAAGTTGTCTTCCCAGTGAACTGGGGTGGGTAGAGAATAATGTGTATTTCTCTCCTTGAAAAATTGTCAGTGAGCTGTGTGCTTGTGCTGGGGGAAAGCGGTCATATAGACCAACCCCATAACATCTATTTTTTCCAAGTTTTTAAAGGAAGCATTTTTAAGAGTAAAAATTGGAGCATAGAAACTTCAGCTGGTAGACTCAATGCAGCGTCAGCTTGCTTGGGAGGCCCAACATTCTGAAGCTCTGTGTGAACCATGTCATTCACAATCACATGAGCTCTCATTACCTGATCAGTAATGTTGCACTGCATTGTTACCTGTTTGAAACTACAGAATAAGTGTCTTTTTGTCCTTTCCTTCACTTTGTATATCACACTTAATCTCTGGATAGCCTGCTCTTGAGGATTTTTCTATATCTTGTCTATATTTCTATAGCTCGTCTATGTATTTATCTGCAGTGTTTCAATTGTTTATTCTTCTGTTTCAGATCCTTATGTGAAAATTCACCTGCTACAGAATGGCAAAAGGCTCAAGAAGAAGAAGACTACAGTCAAGAAGAAGACCCTGAACCCTTATTTCAATGAATCTTTCAGCTTTGAGATCCCCTTTGAGCAGATACAGGTTCCAATTTTTCTTATTTGAGGGTGGAGAGCGATGCAGGCAGCTCCCAAAAAACTTTGGGTTGACATATTTCTCCATTGTCTCCCACTGCTTCACAAAGCACAAGGGGCAGATTCATCATCTAACACAGGCAGTTCTCCATCAATGGTGGTTGAACTTTGTAAGCGAAATGAGCTCAAATGCAGCTGGTGCCTTCCAGATATGTTGAATAACTAACCATCATGGCCATGACATCATCGAGACAGTTGGCCATGCTGGATGGAGATGGTGATAGCTGTAATCTGACATATTTGGAGGGTGTGTGGTTGGAGCAGACTGAAGGAAATGTTAATGATTCTCCTTCTCATTCTTCCTTCTCCTCCCTTTATCCTTCTTTAAGAAATGTTTACTTGTAATAAAGTTATCTAGGGAACTTTCCAGCAGAGTGGGGGACTTGAAGATGGATCCTCTGATCCTTATGCAATTTTCTAACTGTTGTACCAGAGAGGATCTTCCTTGGAGCTCAGTAGGACAGAAATATTGTAAAGAAACGAGTTTAATTTATGTATCTTCCTGAAGTCTCTACTAACTTGGCACTGGGGCCAAAGAAGGGAAACTGTAGATTGCACCTCTGATTTAAAAATGTAGGTGTTTTCCAAATGTGTTGGTGATGTCCAGGTTGAGGTCATGCTGGCTGGGAATTTGGAGACTTAATAGTCTTACTGCATACAAAGGACCCAGACTGGGAATTTTTAAGTTTTTATAAGCAAGCAAGCTAATTAGCTGGCTAGCTATTGAATCCTTAGCCAAACATCTTTGTTGATGTTCTTAGTCATAATGATTCCTACACCTCTCTCTCCTTCTCTCTGTCACACACTCACACACATATAATGTGCATATGTTCCTCTTGGATTTAAATCTGTACTTGGAAAGTCAGCATGTAAGGGAGCCTAGCTTTACCATGAAAATGAAATTTCCTTTCTCTTTGGGGAAACATTTGCCTAGCTTCAACCAGAAATGATACTAATATGAAAACTCTTTTCTACTTAAATCTGCTGATTGGAGGTTTTCTGAATACTCTAAATATTTAATTTTATTAATTTAGTTAGTGAACTATAACATGTATTACTTTTTATTATAGTCATAACTCTAGTGTGGGGTACAAAATAGGATTAAAATAATAAAATTACAAGTGACTAGAATGATAAAATTATACCAACAGATTAGAATATTAAAACCAGAATGACAACAGCAACCAGGAATCAATTCATTTAAAAGCCTGGATAAACAAGCACATGTTTTCCTTGTGCTACAAGACCTAGCACCAGCTGCAACTGAGAAAATACTAGATTATATTTTCAAGATCCTCTCCTCTTTGCCCATGAATCTCTGAATTATGTGATAGATCTTACTAGGCCTTACTAATGAGCTCTACTTTCTTGCTTCTCTCCAGAAAGTGCAAGTTGTAATAACTGTCCTGGATTATGACAAGCTGGGAAAGAACGAAGCTATTGGAAAAGTCTTTGTTGGCAACAATGCCACAGGCACAGAGCTCAGGCACTGGTCTGACATGCTGGCCAACCCTCGCCGCCCCATTGCCCAGTGGCACTCCCTGAAGCCTGAAGAAGAGGTGGATGCAGCTCTCGGGAAAAACAAATAGGCAGCTCCATCTTCCAACATCACCTAATGGACATTCAAAGTGATCCAGAGCTATCAATACCTCAGTTAGGCAACATTTGGTTTTTGTTCTCTTTTCTAAGCTGCAATACTCTTTCTTTGATGGCTGCAGAGGGAATCCGGATGAACTCAAGAGCATCCAGGAGGAAGTGGTTTAAAAGCATGGTGGTTCCTTCCTTTCACATTCTTCCAAGTAGTTGGTTTACTGCATGTTCCACCATCTCTCTGTGTTGTTCTCTTCAAGTGTAGAGCAAGCTTTTTACTTGGGTCTTCCTGACACCACCATGAATAATACCACAAAACAGCTTTGCTTTTGCTTGATTTGGGAGTTTCCTCCTTAAACGAGACCTTTTATTATTGTGCTACAGGATGATACCAGAGCCTGACAATGTGAGATGACCAGATACACTGTGCTTGCTTTGGAAAAAAGCAAGGTGCATGAAAAGGAGCTCCTACAAAACTGTATTCAGTGAGGTTTGGCCATTAGCCATCTAGCAGGAAAATTGAAAAGCAATACTGGCATTAGAACATCTCTGAAGATGTGGATAGCTGGTGGATTAATTCTCTGTAATGAGAGGACTATGGTTTGGGGCATACAAGTTGCCAAATGATAATTGCCCTGTAACAGCTATGTAATGCAGTGGGTCTTCTGTTAACCTTGGAATTTTCTGTCCTTAATCAGAACAATGGAATGGTAGAAGATAATTGGAGTATGAAATCTAGAAATGTATGCTTCTGTGAAAGGCAGAGTGCAAGAATGGACTCTGAGTGGAAAAAAAAATCATGGGATATTTATACAAGAGGTAGCAGGCTTCGCAAGCTGTCAATTTATGTGAAAATTTCGCCCTTTCAAAGGTTACCCTAACCTTACTGGTAGCAGTGCCAAGCTTAGATGCATCAGAAAAATCTATGTCGAGAGCCTCAGGCAGCTTTGCAAGTCTGAAAAAAATGATAGGCCTGGGTTGATTTGCAAACATTTGCTATCATGCCTTGTACCGCCATTCTTCTTTTAAAAACACAATAGACTAAATCTGTTGAGAGTGAGAGATTTCTTGTTGGAATGTTTTTTTCAATGAATTTGGAACTGAAAGGGTGTGAAGAAAGAGATTGAGGATTGAGTGTTTTTCTAATGCTGAAGAGCAGGATCTTTTAGATGGGTGACGGGATAGAAACAGCTGGAAGGTCCATCTAGTGGCCAGCACAGTGCAATAAGGAAACTGAAGAATTCAGAAAGAATTAGAACCATCAGTTGGGGGCTTTCCTCCCCTTCCCATGTCATATTTAATTAAGGGAGCAAAGGGCGAGAAATTAGTGGGAAAGTGAATCCATTCCAACCAAAGGACCAAAGATACATCAAAAGCAGCAGGGCCTTCTCCTCTTGTCTGGCTGCCAAAGCATTCATGATTTCTTTGCTAATCCCAGAGGGATAGCCCATATTATCTTTGTTACCTGTGCTTGCACTGATCTCCCCGTTTCTTATGTAGTGCCAGATACAGATATCTTGAACACCTTAGCTTCCTTTTCAGACTGATGGCAATAGCAGCAGATTAAGTGAGGGCTAGGAAGAAAGATTTTGAAATAAAGGCTTCTATTCAGAGTTTAATACTGAATTAGTTAGGAGTTAATGAAAAGGGGGCAAGACTTCAAAACAGGAGTATGGGAAGTTTGAGAGAGTAGTTTTATGATCAGTGGCCATTTTCTTCTATTGCTTTTGTCTGGAATGTCACTGGGGAATATTGGATAGTTCTCAGCCATGTGGGTCAGGGTTGACAGAAGGAATAGAATGGACTCTAGTCATGAGGCTGAGTGAGCAGTGCTCAGACTTACTCAGTTGTACCTGATTAGGGGAGGTTATACTTACCCTGCCAGTATTTGTGCATATGTGGGTGTAATCATCGGTAGGATAGACACAGATTTTTAAATGAGACAGGTTTTAAGAGGAGAGGGAAAGAACAAATCTAAGGTTCCAGTGTGTTCAGCAGTTTTCTGGCTGTAACTATTCCTCTTGTGTCTGGTCCCAAATGCTAATTTCAACCATCTGCCAGCATTGGCTTCAAGGATATTAGTTGTTCAGTCTTTATGCTAGATGTGTTCCCTATAAGGGGAACAAAAAGCAGGTTTGCTAATACACAAAGCATTCCTCACTGAGTAGCGTTATATATTCAAAGAACTGTTGGTTTCTCACCTAGCTTAAGTTAAAATAGGAAAATTTACCAATTAACACTGATGTAATCTCTATCATTGTTGCACCATTTAGACTGCCAATAAGGACCAAAGTAATCAAATGCCTGCTTTGTACTGCTTGTACCTAAAAAGTAAACAAATCAAAGTAAGATCCTATGTCTGAAGGTGAAGCCAGAAGGATTTCTGAGTTTCCTTTGTGAGATCTCTGAAATTGCCCAATTTGAGTTAAGACAGTTGATCCTAGTTCTTGAAGTGTTTCATGTCAATATGTTGCAGGCACTCCTTCACTCTTTTCTACCCATTTCCACTTGATTAAATCACTGTAGAACTAGTGAGGGGGGAGAAATATTGCCACCTACTTAAATGCTTTTCAAATAAACTGACTTGGTATATCTAAGCAAAGAGAGAAGACTTGAAGGCTTTTAATATGCTCTCCCAAAGTTCCCTTCCTTGTTTAAATAAATCTAAATAGCTCTAATTTTACTTTGATTCACTGTATGCACAGGTGAGATATCACACTTGGGATTTTGGTCCTAGCCACACAAAGGGAGTATTGAAATTGTTCATCACTGGATCTGCTGGATCATATGTAATTGTTTCTATGCTTAATCAGAAAAGTTAAATTTAATGCAACTTTTCTGTGCAAATAAGTTTGATGCAAGCTTGTTGTACAAAGAAAAGGGGTAGGTGAAATGTGTCCCCAATTCCTTTATTGTGCCTCTTAGCTTTTAATACTGCCAGCTGGCAAGGATATGAGATTTCAAGCATCATTACAAAAAAGGCATCCTGGTGGAGTTGTGAAATCAAACTTGAATTTTGTTTTTTAAAGTTAGCCCTGCATCTTCACTAATCTTATGCCATGAGAGCAGAACCACACTAGGTGAGACTGTTTTAATGAGAAAAGGAAGAATCTCTCTTTCCACTAAAAGCAAGAGTTTGACCAGCAAATATGGTGCTTTTCCTGGTGGAATCACAAGTCATTAAGGAGATTGTCAAAACGTGATATCCAGGGTTAGCTGGAAGTCGGAAGGAAAGGATGGGCACAATTTTGCTGATTATGCTCTTGGTGTGTTTTCTGCTTTTCAAGGCAAGCGGAATTGAAGTTAGCCATGGTCTATTTCAAACTACTGGGTGAGAGACTGGGGGATGGAAACAGTGCTGCTGTGGAAGTGCCCTTTAGAGGCTGCCTGTAGTTTGGACAAAGTCGAACAGACAAATTCCTATTTTTGCTGTGATGAATTAGAGCAGTGATTCTCAAACTTGGCAACTTGAAGATGTGTGGCCAACCCTTGCTGGCTGGAGAATTCTGGGAGTGGAAGTCCACACATCTACAAGTTGCCAAGTTTGAGAAACACTGAATTAGAGTATTAATTGTCTCCAGAGGCAATAGTCCTTTTGTCTTCCCTTTTTATCAACAGGTTGGACTGCAGAATCCTTTCCACAGCTACAGAATGTGGAATCAGTCCTGGTTTTGCATCCACCACTGTTTGAGTGGAATGCTTGCTCTGAGTTGCAAAAACCATTCCCATATGTGTGACCATTCTTTATTAAGTAACTCAGTTCTTAGCTGCCTTTCAAGATGTCATGATTTAAAGACAGACATGTTCATTCTGGTGTTAGCAAACATATGCCATTTCAAATGTGTTGATCTGTAACTCTGATCTGACCTGAAATGAACACTTTTCATAGAGCCCTGAAACTTCATATGCTTTTCTGGCTTGATAGTCTGTACCTACAAGTTATATCAGATATAAACCCCTCCGTAATGCTCACTACAAAACAGAATCCTGATGGCTACCTGAACTGTTAAATTGTGTTGGTGCTTATACCCCAGGAGAGTGTTTCTACTCACATTGGTACTTCATATTTGACTGCTACTTCTGCATTGTTACTTCTATGTAGAAACTGCTAGAAGAAAGACAAAAAGATGTGCTGAAAGCAATGGCCTTGATCCATCAGTAGTCTTGGCAATCATTTACTGGATGCACGTAGCAATTAATGTTAAAAGGTACGCCCAGCCAGTTTGATTGAACCTAGCTAAGCATTGGAAAGAAGAGATCACTGTGCAGTGCAAGAAGGCTGCTGTACTCTTAGTAGCTTAGAATGAACACATTGGAGTATCTTCATTTTTAATGGTTCACATGCCCAAATGGCAACATCACCACACAAACTTGCTTTGGTTCATCCTGCTAACCACCCAGGGTGTTCTATCTGAACGCAGGAAACTGGAAATATTAGTACTAGGAAACAAATCAGAACACACTCTTTTATTGAATTACAGCTCCAATGTCTATGGTTTAAAATGGAGTAGGTGGGACTTTAACACTCAGTATAATGCATTTTGGTTGAGTTTCTTTTTCTGCATAAAAGGGTTGAAAAAGTGAATCAATTCAAGCCATCTAAGCCTCATTGAAATTCCATCATTTGTGTGTACTTATGTATAAATTATTATAGAGATCTAATATTAACATAAATACAACCTTCTTGTAAATGATGCATGACGACTAGCACAGTATTTAAGTAAAAGCATGCAAAAGCAGAACTCGTACAATATGTGGATTATCACCCGTTTTCTAGAATACAGTCAGGCTACAGAATTATTTTTAAAATGTGGTGTGAATGAATTTATTTTACCTAATGCAATAGAGAGGGTGGGGGAGGGGATTGTAAAAAATAAACTCAGAGAGAATGGTCGTAACAACATACATTTATTTTCAATAAAAAGTAATAATTTTTTAAAATAAAAAAGCAACAAAGCATGCTTGATCCACTAAAATATATACTCGGTGAAAGCAGGGAGGGGTTGGGCAGGATATAACACCAACAAGATGGCAGTAAGTTTCATCAGTGTCTTGTATAATTAATATTTGCAAAACTGTTAACTGGTGGCATTTTTACTATGTCCAGATAGCCACAACATTGCAGCTTCAATGTTCTGTGTTGTGTTGAAGCATTTTATTGCTGAAGCAAATTTAGAAGCCATATTAGATCACAGGCTGCCAGGATCCTGAAACTGGGATTGGCTAACAGGTGATCCTCGCGCTCTGTGCTTCCCTGTCCTAATGTCACCCTGTCCCTGCTTTCTCTGTCTGTCTTGCTGTCCAACTGTTATGTTACCCCTGGGGTCACTGATGAGTGATAAGGCTGGCTTGAGGCTGAGACCCTGTGTTGGGTCTGACCTTGTTAGGCTGTGAATGGCACTGGCCTGAAGCCTTTTCTTAGCCTGCGTGTATGAGCTTTGCTGGCCCTGATACGCTCTGGCAGACTCAGGAGCCAAAACATCATGTCAGGTCTACCAGGGCTCCTAACCTATTTTGGCTTTACTCTTGGCAAGAATTGTTGGGATAGCAGTGGCTATACCCAGGAGCTTGGCCACCATTTGAATTTCTTATGGCGTTGCTCTGGGATGCTGGGGGAAATTTAAATGCCAGACAATTTTCCAGAGTGGGGGAGCAAGTAACTGGTGTTGGAGGTCTTTCCTTTCTGCATTAAAAAATAGAGCTATTTGGCAAACACTAACAGTACAATTGTTTCTGCCATTTTCTGCTTGGCGACAGAATATAAAACACATGTTTTCAAAATTGTTTGGAAGAACTGCTTCAGATCTCACACTACTACAGCAATTCTCTCTTACTAACTGAGCAGCCACCTCTTTTTCAAGTCTTTGCTGCAATCTTGAGAAAAAGATATTACTGCTTTAAGGTATCAGCTCATTCAAGTGACTTTTTTCAAATTATTTTCAAAGCTTGCACAGCCTTACTGCCTAAATTATTGGCTGCCTTTTTCAGTAAGATGCAGGCGCCTAATTCTTAGTGGTTAAGATACACATACATTTCACAACTGATACAGCCTGCACGATTTGTGTGGGTGGACATTGCACCTTGGTGCAAATGATTATGTATCACCACAGCTTCAAATTGAAGAAAGATTAATGAACAGGTCAAGAATTAGGTTATAAGGGCAGCACCTTATAGCTAGAATTTTCAGAATGCTACATAGCATAATTGAACTGAAATCACTTCTGTGACTTAAGGAGGGCCTCTACTTCCTGTGATTTTATAACTGGTTGTTTCTGGATAAGAGGACTGGTAGACAATCCTGAGAGGGAAAGACTAGTGTTTAAAGTGGTGCAGTATTAATAAAGTCCCTGAAGATCCTCATGGCAGTTTTGATTAAGACAGTGTCCTCTGTCATCAGGCACTACTGCCCCTACTCCTGTTACGCTACCTGAAGTATAGAGAACTAAGCAGTGATGGCAGCAGGGCAGAAGAAGTGTTGCAAATGGCTCAGTAAAAAAAAATATACAGTGCTAACTGGGTTTATCCCACCTGCTTTACAGTGTTGGGACTGACTGCTTTTGTGCCTTTAGCACTGTTTATGAACAGAGATCAGCATATCATTGTTTGACCACCTAATTACATGTCAGGCTGCTATTAAAGGCACAACTGCAGAGGGAGATGATGGCAGCTGAACCTCCAAACAGAGCAGCTGTATGAAGAGATGACCATGACCACCACCCACCACAGGCTAGGTTACAAAAGGCTTCAGACATCTGATACTCAGGTGTAGGGTGAGGCCTCAGCTCCCTCCCATTCCAGCCATATTTCCCATTTTTTCTTTGTGATGCAGAAGCTTCCCAAACCAATAAAATGTACTGGAGTCTCCATCTCCAGTTATCTTCCCCACTTCTGGTGCAACATGAATTCAACCCCCCTCAGCCTGCAGGAAGCTGCTTTTAATGCTCCCTTCCCTATCCTAACGTGGACCGTTTCTGTCTTTATTGTCAACCTGTTATTTTGTAATGATATGCGTCTCCTTATTAAAGAAACTAGCTGAAATATCTAGATGTTCTTTGTGTTATTTACAAAGTAGACATTCCTTGCCAAGCACACGTGTTGGATTTTAGAATTTAAGAATAAATAGACTGAGAAACGGATTGCCACAGAGATCATGCGATTTCAGCAGCTGCATGATGATTCTGTCTCATTGTACAACTTTTAAAAATGATGCACCACACCAAATAAAATTGCCTTTCCTGTAAGACAAATTCTCTTTCGCCTTATGGCTGGGAATACTAGAGTTCAGGGTCCAACACAACTAGAGCATGTTGGTTAGGGAAAGACTGGACTAATGTAATCTCCACCATAAGATATAAGCAATATTTCTGATCCCACCCAGATTTCTACCCAATCCTTCCTTTCATACATACACAGCCTGCCCTTTATATTTCTAAATTGCTTGATTTAAAATCATAATCACTAATAATCCACCTTGCCAGTTCTGCAGCTAAAGGTGTTTGGAAAAAGCACTTCTGACATAGGAGCAGTCACACTTGTGTTGGCATAAATGAGAGCTCCAAATTAAAAAGGTCTTACTTCAAATCCCATTTCAATTTAGCCAAAGGATACCTTAAGGTCTCCAGCTGCAATACATGGATCAAAATATGAACCCAAAAAGGTTGTTGCAAGAGTTATTAACATAATATGCACAGAAATAGACTTTGAATATAGTCTAGATAACTACTTGTATTTGCTTTAGACCCAGGCTTTGGACATCTGCAAACAGGTGTGTCTTTCAGGTACTTAGGAGAAACCCGAAAAGGATCAGGGTGCTGCTTGGGAGGTACACACCCCACTACAAAAAATGGATTTTTCACAACCAGGATACTTGAATATTTTGCACTTGTATGTGAAACTCCGCATATCACTACTAATCTTCATTGGCCTCAGCAGTGAAGATCACTGCAAAGTTTCTCCCTTATTACCATATCGTCAAGTTTGCCTTCCTTAGAAGGTTGTGATGGAAATATTCTCACTTTATTTTGAGGTCATTAAGGGAAAATCATTTCTAAATTAGAAGATGGGAGGAGGTGGGCTTTCTATGGAACTCCTATAAATAGGCTTAGTCTACAGCAGAGTAACCTCCTTATCAACCTGATTCAAAATAAAACACTTTTGTCAGTCAAAGGTATGTGGATACATTTGGATTCATTTCTGGGTTGGCTCACTGACAAAGATTGGACTTTGTCCTGGATCAGAAAGCCATGTGCAGAGTCTGACAGTGCATATGTGATGCTTCCTTAATTTCTTCTGTTTCTTCATACATAAAAAAGCCCCCCCACTGGCTGCAGTGAATTAAAAAAAAAAAATGCTACTGGCCAACCAGTGGGGGCACATGCATCTCAGAGCACACATTTGTGATGAATTTCTGCTCTGGAGGCTAACAATTGTGTAGAGAAACCTGAAAGGTAAGAGCAGTAATTAGTTGCTAATGAGAAATACTGAAGCAAGGCATATTTCTCACAAATCAACAGCAGAGGTCCTTCCAGCCTATATTTTTCTATTCTGTAGTCATAAGCACATTTCTGCAAAAGAAGTTATTTTTTTTTCAGATTATTTTGCTAATTGAAACTGGGCCTAATTATTCCCTTTGCTATAGATCATATCTTAGGCATTAGGACGGTATGTGGAACGTTGCGGTCGCACCTGTAACTTTTCTAAAACTGGATAATAATTCCAATAAAAGGTGCCATGTTCCTCCTGTTGGCCAGAGAGGAAAAGCAGGTAATTCCTGCTACTGGACTCTCTCCCCTAAATACAATCAAACTGACCTGCAACGAATACAGGCTATGGCTCAAATTTTGTACAAACAAACAAGCATCCCCAAACCAATGCATTTTTGTATGTATGGATGGATGATTAGATAAATGAATTATTTGGGGAAAATGCACATATGAAACCCCTTATTGATGGATTTATCCCCATGATAATTCCATTGTGTGTTGTTTTTCAACTTTTAGGTTGCACAATAGATTTTTTTCATTTGTAGCAAAATAGCTATCTGGTTGACTTCTGATCTTCGTGAGTTCCTCTCCTGCACCCAGCAAAAGAGTAAACATACTTTATGTCCTCTTCTGGAACCAGTCCAATAACCAATTTATCACTGATGTGTTTTATGGAAATGTTTGAGAATAGCCTGCTTGGTTTTGATGGAAGAGCTTTGTGTTGCCAGGCTAGAAAGTGTGGAATACAACTTGCCAGCAACAGAACATGAGTATCTCAGCTGCCTTAGTTATGCCACCTAAAATGCCACCCAATTACATGCTACATACAGTTGTCTTGTTACTATGAGTGGGACACTTAATGATTTCTCCAAGATATCCCAACCTTTTGATATCCCATTTGAATATTCTGTAAAAAGCAAAGAAACAAACACACAAACACTATTTCTTAGTAAAAGATTGCTCTTGGATGAAAACCCTGGCTGGGTGCTGTTTAAGAGGGATTATTTCCTTTCCTATAATATAGAATGTTGATGGTAGCTTTCCTTCAGCGTCTCTCATTAAAAATTTCACCCGTGGCTTTAATAAAATTTAACTGTCTTCCACCACAAAAAGCAATTGCCTAGAGGGAACTATTAATAAAGCAAGGCCAAAAAGTCACCATAAGGAATATGAAAAATGTAGTCCTCCTTTCGATTCATCTGACAGCAGCTCTTGGTCAGGCATTCAGGCTTGGAGCTGGGCTCCTGCAAGAGCTTTGCCATTTGTGATGGCAGTTCAGAAAACAATGTTTCTGTCTGGGACCAGGTTGAGATGCAGTGGAGTTTCTTATCCATCTGGTTTTCCTTGCCTCCCATCCTGCAGAAAATGGTTCCTTCCCGCGCTACCAAGCCACTCTCTACAGAACTTTAGGGTGGTTTCATGCAACATGCTCTTCATCCTGCTGTAAAGGAAAAGCTGCTCCGGTGTGCATGGTCATACTTCAGCCTCTCCAGGAAGAAAAATGCCCCCCTATCCCTGTAAATGAGGCAGTAGAGCAGGGCCCTGCATGCATGCATCAGGGTTCTGATATTTAAAAGTTAATTGACAGATTAGCATATTGAGACCTGTGGTCAGAAACTCCCTGATTTGCATATTGATCCAAGTTGTAGGTAGACAGCTTTATTTATCATTTGTCACTTCAGGAGGAAACATGCAAAGACAGCCTGTATTTCAGAAAGCCATTTAAAACAATATGGTAGAACATTCTTGTGTCACTTTATCATACAAGCTTATCTTCCTCATATCAGAATTCCTATTCTGACTTGATTCATCACATTGTTCAGGCAAATTCTCAATACCACTGCTTCATATTTTACATCTGATTATGTTTAGCACTCTGATCTTAGGCATTCTTTCTTAGAGTAAAACAATTGTAGTTCTAATATATGAAGTGGTGAGGAAACTTGAATCAAAAGAGAAGTTACTTTCATCATTAAGGAAACAAGTCAGCTGCAGGGAAACATGCTTTCACTAGTTAAGACATTTGGACAGTGTTAAAGCATTTGTTTTATTCATTTATAAATACTGTTGTGTTTACAAGCATTATAGATGTGAATATTATTCCCAAACTTTCAAACATATAATACTTAGAATACTATATGACAATCAGGAAAACAAAAGCATTCATCTCAAAATTTGGAAGGCCACTCAAAAAAGTTGCATAAAAATACATTCTCTTCCTTCACTCACAGGCCAGTCTTTTCTCCAATTAGTTATTTACAAAGAAGTGTAAAACTTTTTTTAAAAACAGATACACTTAAGAGTATTTGGGCCTGGGAAGTTAGTGAGCCAACAGTAGGATGCTGTTCTTTTTTCAGGAACATCATTTGCAGTAAGGACTTTTTACTTTCCTCAATACTATATGCTAAACAGAGTTGGGAGTGGAAAGATACACAGTAGATCTTAACACAATTTGGACCCTTCTGTTGGCTCAAGAACATACAAAGTTATATTTACCCAGAGTTCAACCTGCCCCAGCAAAAAAAGGAACCTTGGGGAGTGCATGATTTCACCAGTAAGTTGCTAAGGAGTAATCTTGGTAAAAAAAAAAAAAAAAAATCCTTCTTGGAACATGCTGCCTCTAGTAGAAACACACAAAAAGATTTCAAACGCAAAGGTAAATGTGATCGAAACACACCATTCAAAGAAAAAGCCCTGGGAAGCTGAAAGCTTGAAACTAAGATATTATAGTTGCCTTTGAGATATAGACCTTCTGCTTCCCATGTTTAATATCCCTGAAAGAAGGACCAAGTCAGAAGCTTTCCTGTCAGGTCAGCTAATATAGCAGCAGGCCAAGTGGAGCTGGAAAGTCAAGATGGAGAAAACAAAATCTACTGTAGAAAAGCAGATGGTCTTCATAAAAATGCAGGTGAGAGGAAAGGGACCTAGTACATTCTTTGTGAGGGAATATTTGATTTGCCTGCAAGAAATCCTGTCAAAACAAGCTCATTTTTAGGTTCTGGTGAGCAGTAAAATAATTGAAAATCATCTCCTAGTAAGTTGAAAGTACAAAGGAGAAACTGATGACCCAATGGATCAGGCTTAAATGGGGCAAAGGTCTACATTTTGCTCTTGACAATGACATAATACATTTATGGGGTGGGAATTCATTAGATGGACCCAGAAGGACAGTATACTTTACCCTATTTTTTTTAACATTTGCATCATTTCGTTAGAGACAAACATCAACTTTCCTCTAAAGCAGGAATTGGGGAAGTAAAGGCTCCTGTTGTTACTGAACTACAACTCTCAGAAGCTTCAACCATCATGTTCAGTGGTGAGGGATGCTGAAATTTATAGTTCAGGAACATTTGAAGGGCCACAAGTGTCTCATTTTTGCCCTAAGAAATACCAAATGTTAATCTTTTATATATCAAGGACAGCCAAGGGGTTGTGTTTATTCTATATTCAAGGCTTTATCAGCAAACTGCAACATGGTTAGTCTTATACTTTTGAATTATTCTATGGGAATAAGTGTTTTAAGTGGCAATTATTAATAATAATCCATAAACAGCCCTTAAGAGAAAAGAAGGAAGTGATATGATACCAACAACTCTGCACTAGCTTCCAACAGTCAAAATCAAGTACATATGAACTAGAAAACAATCAATATAAATTAATCTAATGCTCCCTGACCATCCAGACCACCCATGAATTGTTTCATTAACAGTAAACCAATATGGACAGAAAGAAATAATGCCACACTCTACAGCATGAACTGTCACTAAATACAAGTGTCCTCATATATACTTGCTCTTGCACCTATATATCCCTATCTTCTGAAATGCTTTTCCTTCACTAGTCTATGTTCTATGAGTGGTTCATCCATATTACTAGGAAAGCCTTCTCTTGATATAAGCCAATCTACCACTAAATGGCTATTAAGATTTCTTCCCTATTTATATTTGTTTTCCTATACTGAGTTCTTTTAACATACAGTACCTCTAGTTTCATATGAAACTTTGTTCTAACCAACCAAGTCTCACTGAACGTCTCCATTTGCAAGGAACAAAATTCAAGTTGTGCTTCTTCTTATGCTTCTTAAAGCATTTGCACAAGGATTTTTAAAATCTTAGACATGAAGGTATTCAAGGTGAAAACTTTCAGGAACAAGAAAAAAAGCAGAACCATTCATTTCCCATTTTAAATAAAAACCTTCTAGTATCCACAAGCCTGAAAGCATTCATGTCACAGACTAAACTTTCAATCATTCTCCTCTATCATTTGCAATTTATGCAGAGAAGATTTCAGCTGACTACCCAATTAAAACAGAACATCCATCTAAACCTAAACTTAACTGGGTCAAAGCAGTAATCAGTGAGGGGAGTAATATTTTCTTTCTAGATATCCTTTAAAACAAGAAAGAGTCCTGAATTCTTGAGGCAAGTTTGCTTGATCAATTAAAAATCTTAAAATTGATTTAAATATGAATAGACCTTCTGCCTGTGCATACATTCAACCCTTAATTAAATCAGAAAGTTTCTTGAAAATACTTTCCAGTTTCAAATGAAAGTTTTAGAGTTACTGTAACCCCTATACCAGTTCTCAAGTTGGTAATTACATTGTTTCATTCAAATGAAATAAGTAATTTCCATTAGAGATTTCCTTTTACTTCATACTTTGAGAGAAGTACAAGTCTCATTTATATTTCAGCTTTTCAAACTGGACTTTTTATTTGTGTTAGGATAAAAATGGGCTCATATTATCAGTATGAAGGAGGTTTGAAATCCTTGAAGACATAAGAAAAATATATTTAGGTCTAAACTGTCAAGATGCTGACTGTTGCCATTCATCTTAACGACCTCCATGGAATAATCTGTTTCTACCTGTCTCTCCCCTCCCCCCCTGCAAAAAAAAATAAAATTAGGGTGAGAATACTGAATTGTTTCAGGAGTAATCTGCTCAGAAAATTCTAGTCAGTATTCAGATTGATCTAATTCCAACTCTTGACTAGATAGGGCACAATTCTTCATAGTATGTGGTATTGATTTTTGCCCTTACATTTCTGAATATTAAAACTGAGATTTGTTTAAGATATTATATTCCAGGTATAAAATGACAATAGTAGAATGCAAGAACTCTTACAGAATGTTCTTTTCAATTAATGACTGTTTATGGTAGAGTATGACAGGACCAACTAAAAATCCTTTGTTCATATCCCTCTGCAATCCTCTATGGGGCTGAAATAAGTTGGGTAGTAAGGTAGCAATGAAAAGCAAAATCGTGAATAAAATGCATGGCACTGATAAAGTGTATGTAGCTATCACATATAATTGTTAGACCCACCTTGAAACCTAGACAATACCCAAAGCTCCAAAAAGGGGGGACGGAGGAAAACAATGGGTTGCTGAGAGCCTCAGAGCTAAATTTCAAAGCTCTAAGTATAGTGAATATACTATTCACTTTATTAGACTTTGACTCATTTGTACAACCAATATCTGAATTAGCCAGTTCACAGGTGGCAACTCCTGGCTCTTAACAGAATTCTGCATTTCTTTGCAGCTGGTAAAAACAAGAATACATGAATATACAGAAGAAAAAGTTGAAAGAGAAAGGAAAGCCAGCCACCTCTTCGTTACAGTAGTCCACAATAGATAAAAAATCACATATTTTGACCACTGAGCAATGATGGCAAAAAAGTCTGTAGTGCTACTGCTCACTTGTACCTATGTATAAGTTGCTTTTCTTAAATCCCAAAGGCTCTGTTCTAATCAACTGTAAAAACTGTCTACATCTAGGCCAGAAATTATAGCTTCAGAAATTGATATCATGCTTTGGAAGACAAAGGAAGAAAGAGAACAAACCCAGTGGTCAGATATTGGGGGGGGAAATAAATAAGTGCTGCAAGTGAAATCTCACTGTTGTAGCCAGAGAAGCAGTGTCTCTTAAGCAGCTAGCTTTCTGAGAATCTATAAAAGTTAATGCATTAATTTCCAGTATGATCAGAAACTAGGGCATGAATACTACTGATCTTACTGTTGATATTATTAGAGACAGATGCATTTATGTTTACAACTGTGCAAGTGAATAATTGCATTAAACTTCTCAAACACTAGTAGTATAATTTTGTCAAGGCTTTCCACCAAGACTGAGAGACAGCATTTTGCACAGGACTAAGCACTCTAACCACCAGCCTTCTTCCACTTTAAACTCTGAAAACACTCTTGTGTTTTCACAATTTTGCACCTCGTGAACATTATCTTAAATCCAACTTATTTGCCCAGCTTTTCATGCAATGTTATTACTTCACTGATAAATGAGCCATTTCACTTATAAAAAGATATGTTGATGTCTTGTGCAGAGATACATCCTGCATGGATATTTCATACAAATGGAAATCCACCCTATGCAATCTTTGCTGTTAGGTGTCTTTCCACCAGAATTCTTGAAAGGAGACAGTAATGTGAGCTAAAGAATGTGGCAGCTATAAGGTGGAATCATCTATTACATAGTTCTAGAGAAGGCAACCATGAAAGGAAACAGTAGGAAGCATCATGAGGAGGGCTGGAAATAAGGGGAAATGATTGGGCCCCAATATTAAACTGATTTCAAATTTAACATTAAATAGATCAGTCAAGTACTGAGAGATATGTAGAATATGTATTTCCAAGGCAAGACACCATTGAGACTCCCAGAGAAATAAGTCACTATGGTTTTCAGACTGCAGACTCCCAAATTCCAGAAGGAAGAGTTAATTCCATTTCACTCCCTATTCCTATTCCATGACAGAATCTTAAGACACGTTGGATTGACACTATAGTCACTTCTATATCACTTATTACAGTAGATACTTCTTTACATCAGATTAAGGTTGGATGGATATGGGGCTTACAGCAGATGTTTTGAGTAGTTCAGACAGTGCCAACCAGTCTTTGTCCCTTTGAATAAATTACTTCATTATTGTAAAAATAATAAACTTGTGGTGAGGCATGCTATGTTTTGGAAGAGAGGGGTGGGATAAGCACTGTGCAAAATAAAAATGCCCAGCAAGTGCAAGGAGCTGTGTGTGTTGCCAACTGGTCCATGTCTAAAATGCCAGCAGTTCTTTCAACTGGAAGATCAGAAATAGGTCTCAGGGTTGGCAGCTTGTGCACAGAAATCTCCTCTTTCTGCCCATCCTTTGTTCAATATGCTACTTTGAGAGTTTACTGATGACTCGGATGAGTGCTCCATTCTCATCTTTCAGCCGCTGATTGTCTGACTTCAGCTCTGTCAAAACCTGTTTCAAAGACAAGATAGAGCATCAAAACATTTATCTGCTGATTGTCCCAGAATATTTCAGCCACTGGGGAGTAAAGAGGGGAGAAAAAGTCACCTAAACAGCAGTAATCTGTATTCATATGAAATGGTTTTTGCCTTAGCATATGGCCAACTTCCCCTACTCAACTTAATAGTATTACCTCCCTAAAACAGAAGAGGGAAATTACTCCCAATATTTTATTTATTTATTTAATCAAATTTCTCCCCCGCCCACCTCCCCCCAATGGGGGACTCTGGGCGACTTACAAAAATACTAAAACCATAAATATATATAAAATACATAATACATTT